AAACTTCAATTCAGAAAGAGACAAAAAAATTGTCAGTATTTTTACTAATTTAATGGCTCCCACAATTCTTTTTAAATACATGCAGCATTGACTTTGAAAAGGAAGTGGAATATGACAAAGATAAATGATAGCTGTCATCCTGGTCCTGCAATGTGCCCTTCTCAGGCACACATCTCTGCGTGGAGGCAAGCCTCCTGAATCCCTGAGAGAATTGACGTGAGGAAGAAAGTTCTTTGTTTTTTCTTTTTTTTTAACATAGGCCAACAAATCTCAGTATTCTGAGAGTACACACAAATATCAAAGGAGATTTTCTTTTTCTCTTTTTTTTTTTCCCCAAAGAAGTTCCTACTTCACAACATCCGCTGCAGTAGGACAGCAGCTAGTAACTTTGCATGCTTCACGCTGCTCCTTTTTTCCCCCTTGGTTAACACATTTCAGAATAAGGAATGAAGACCATTTCTACAGAATGGGAAATGGCAGCCTGGTAAACAGCAGCTAGGAAAGGATCTAGGAAACACACCAGAAAACCAACTCTCCCTGAAAGCCCAGATTGCTCTGGCGCAACTGTAGCTTTAGAAGGTATAAGCATGGCAACTGCAAAGAGGTTTTTTTTTCTACCATATATAGCATTAGTGAAGCTGATGCAAGTCCAGAGTCCAGTTTTGATGCTTACACTTAATACAGACTATGGAACTACTGGAGACATTTGGTGAAACACTGGAACGGGTTTCCCAGAGAGGTGGTAGATGCCCCGTCCTTGGAAACATTCAAGGACAGGCTGGATGGGGCTCTGAGCAACCTGATCCCGTTGAAGATGTTCCTGCCCATTGCAGGGGGGTTGGACTAGAAGACCTTTAAAGGTCCCTTCCATCCCAAAGCATTCTATGATGATTCAGAGAAGAGTCACAGAGTTATTAAATGGATGAGGAAAACACCCACTGGCAAGAGGTTTGAGATCAAAAGGAAGAATGAAAAGTGTTTGGAGGTGGCAGCAGCAGATAGATGCACGGGGAGAAACACCAGGGAAGAAAAAAAGCATTTCAGTCAATAAGAAGCAAAAGCCAGAGAACTTCACATCAGAAATTAGCCACAATAATTTGACAGTTAAGCTGACAGACAACTGGAACCAAGTGCCCAAGGAAGCGGCAGAGGTGGTGTAACTCGATGCCTTCAAAAGCAGCCTGGATGCTTTCATGGAAGACTTCGGAGAAATATATTGTTTTTCCAATCAAGAGCAAGAAAATCCCATGCTGGGCTAGCCCCAGTAGCAACACCCAGTATGACACCAAAAAGCATCTAAACGTTCACCTCCGTGTATAAGACCATTTCCAAGTAGGGTTATTAGAAGAAAGCCAGGTATGGAGAGGTCAGTCCAGCATTTAGGATGAAAAGAGCAGGACGACGACCACAGAGCCATAATGAAACGCCTCACCCAGGAATCACAAGTAAAGGAGAATTCAATAAACAGCACCACCTTCCCCAAAAGAAATGGTCCTTAAATGAACTGGATGGAGTGGCCACCCTCCTGAGGCACTGGGTCGTCTCCTAAAGCTAGCCCTAGCTTCATGGAAGAGACTGGGAACAGAAGCTGCAAACCACTGAGAATAAAGCTTTTCTTGTGACCAGCACTATGTAGAATTTCACTCACATTAAAGAAGACCAACAAGCCAAGTTTTTTTATCTTCTGTTTGAAGCTGCAATTAATTAGATTTACATCTGTAAAAATTCACATAAGATTTGCTTTAACGCATCCTTTTAAGATTTGCCTTTTTGTCTGCCTCTTTCCACTACTTCGGATTGAGAAAAGATAGTACTGAACTAAAAAAAATGAAGATGTAGGAGAGTAAATGAGGATTCATTTACTCAGCTGAACCAGCAGGCACTCTTAAAACACTCTTCAAAAATGAGGGGAAAACCTCCCTGGCAAGCATTCAGGTCAGGATCAGATTTTCAGGTTTTCAGACCTTTGAAACATGCAGGGGCTCAAATTCACTACTGAAGGCTTAGCTCACTTCCACTAGAGATTTTTTCTGGAAAGAAGATATAGTCCCTTTTATTCAGTTGGAAACAATCATAAGTAAATGCCGTGATGCATTTCTGAATAATCAGAGAGCTTTAAGTGCTGACAGGTTTATAAGCAGGTGCAGGGTGCGAAGCGGGGGGAATCCGAGTGATTTGTCATTGCTGCTATTCACATCAGTGATGTTAAACAAAAAAATCAAGTTTATTTTTCTTACTACTGTTTGGGAAGCTGAGAAGCACCAATAAGCAAAAGCAAAGCAAGACTGCCATTTTGCATGTCTCTGCTTACATCTTCTCTGCTTCTCTAGTACCTTGGTGATATGCTCTAATTGGCTTAACGCAATGCCCACAGATCTTGAAAGCACTCAACCAGACAAGTGCAAGGCGAGTGGAAGAGACTCCTTTTGTCCCAACAGTGACCTTCGAGCTTAACAAAAGAGTAGCAAAGATAACATGCCTTCTATCTCCTACCTGTCTGCCAGCTTGATACGTGCAGGAGGAAGGAGAATAAAGCGTTCCTTATCCCTTCCTGCAAACAAAAGCTTGGTTTCAAAGGTATAAAATGCCAAACAAGAGAAGCAAGTTTGGTCACTGGACTAACGCCCAGGATGGCTGCACCTGCAAAAATTCATGACTTCCAGTAATGGCTCTGCTACTGTGGCATGTAGAAAGCCATATGCCTTTCCTCAGGAAGGAGCAAGGGGTTTCACCAAAGTAGGATTCTTCAATCTTCAGGCTTATCTTTGAGCCTTTCATGGATCTGAAGGTGCCCTAAGCCTGCAGTCAGGAGTGGGTTGTCTCCCACCCGTCTCTGCACACCCGTCCCACTCCCCACTGCACTGGCTGCTCCTGGCGACCTGCTGTCTAAGGTCTTCAGCTATCAGCCAGAAAAGACAATATTGATACTTTGACCCCCATTCTTCTAGTTTTTGAGGTATTGCATGGCTTTTATGTTGAGCTGTCAGAAAAGCTGGGGCAAATGGGAAGAACTATATTCCACAGACAATTTAAGTTCAGCTGTCCATTAGAGATGGTCTATAAAGGAACAGTTTCAAAAAACTCAAGCAAAACTAAAACACTTTGACAATACTGTAATATTTATAATGTGTATTTAAATCACATACTTGAAATTTCTGCAAAATCAATACCTGACACTCCAGTTCCTCATGAAATTCAGTTTAAAAAAAAAAAAAATCACCCTAGAATTAAGGAACAGAGAAAATATTCAACATGCTACTTCACTATTAGGTGTAACACTGCCAATGAATTTTGAAACTAAAGACTAAAACTCACAGAACTGTTTAATTTATCAGAAAACACTAGGAAAAGCTAAACCAAAAGTAAGCAATGTTTATGCACTTCAGTGATGTCTCATTTAAAAGATTCATCACCCTTTTCACTACTCTACAGCTACTAGTTAAACCAAGTGTCCTCTCAATAAAACAAAAAATACATTTTTCAGGTTTGCAAGGAACAGCCAAAAAGGAAGCTGCAAATACTTTTCTGCATCTTATATAATCGTTACATATTTTTACAAATTTGTATTGGAAGAAAAATGTAGATCAATTTCATCTCATGGATACACTACAGAAGAAACCTGTTACCTATGTGGCAAGCACGTACCATATACATAGAAAATGGGATCTTGGGAGGAGCAAGAGGTAATGATGTTCATCTTTTTCTCATGTACCTAATGTTGCGTACCATCTCTGAAAGATCAGTTTAATCAAGAAACATCCCTTTGACCCTCAGGTGTGGCTACTTGTTTGATCTTCCATTTCAGCAGAGAGAAGAGATCATTTACCAAGGATTTGAAATCCTATTCTAATGAGTTTTATTCTTTAAAGATAATACATTAGAAATGGAACTCTCATGGAATCAGAATAGAGAACTTGGAAGATCAGAATTTTGTTTTCATGTAATGAAGTCATGCCCATAGTTAAGCTATATATCAAGTGAATTTCCGGTTGCTCAAAATATTTTATTTTTTTAAAAAAACAAAACAAAACAAAACAACAGCCCCCCCCCCCCCCCCCCATCTTACTACACTGTCTACCCATGCCTGAAGACATACGTTAAAAGGACATGCACTGACATTACCACGTGAACAAAATGCTGGGAAGTTAGGCAAGCTCTTGCAAAGATCTGCAGAAAAGTCACAGTTCTACAGAAATTTTTTTATCTAAATGTGAGGAGTCCAACCTAGTGGCACAGATGGCATAGTTCCTGAATATAATTTCCAAGCTAAATTTACAGCCTGGGCAATAACCATCTGCAGTCAGCTTTAACCTCTGTGTCCTGGCTAAATGCTAACTGGCATCACTCTTTCGCGTCCTTCCAAAAATTCCTCAGAAGTTTCGTCCAAATTCAATTTTCTTCACATTCTGCGCCATAAATGTCTCTAGAGTCTTGCTGTGTACTTTTAAATAGCTGCCAGAAGGGACTGCACTCCCATGATACAGAGCATAATCCGTTTGCATGGTTTATAAATACTCATGTATCCTGTGGAATGGGGACTATTTTGTCAGAACAAAATTGAATTGGTTAAATTGCTGAAGAGTCATTCCAGGTACAAAATTAATGAACTCAGTGGAGTTTTCAGTCTTGTATTAGTATCCGACTATGCAGAGATGAAACATTCACAATGCTGTCACTTTTAAAACACGAGTGCACAGTTTAAAGACCCAAGTTACCATCTCATGCATGTTGGCTGGAAATGTCATAAACCAAGATCATCTTGGAGGCAAAGGCATGCAGTAGCATCCTGGCTTTTCACAAACATACTGTACGTAACTACTCTGTAGCAAAGAGATCGCAGGAAAAGAAAAAACAACTTCTGAATGTGACTTCCAATGCCAGAAAGAGGGGGAAAAAAGTACATTTTATTGTTTATAGGTAAAAAAGGAGGGGAAATGTTCTATGTATTACAATTAATAGAAATCAATGAAAAAGATTTTTAACTGAAAAAAATGCCTTACCTTGAGAAGTTGAGGAAATGAACGTGTCTAGTGAATAAATAGGGCTGCTCAGCAGTGCTTATGTTTTTAATCAATTCCATCTAAAAAGAATCAACAAATCAAATTTTCCATGTTACGTCAATGCACATTTTGAGACAAATATAACTCTCAAACAACATATGATGATGTAATTTTCAAGTCTAAATTACTCAGGAACTCCTTCCCCCCTATCCCTCCCAAACACTGTCATCAAGACAGCACAATTACTATTTAATGTCTAAGAAAGAAAGGTTAAGCTGCAGACACCATCCTGCTATCACAGAGCTTATATACTTCCAGAAGTGGGTATCAGTTTAAGGAAAGGCACAAACTAAAGGAAAAATCTAAACCCTGCCTAAATCTGCACCAGAACTTTGCAAGTGGCAGCTGCCCCCTGAAGACACTGGCTCTATTCACCAGAATGCCAAAAGGTAAAATGTCTGAAACTGTAACAGAAAGCAGAGGCTGAGCCAATGACCATTTTCATATAACAATAAAAATTGCCAACATTGACAAAACACTGAATGATTCACCTGTTTAAATACAGAAACCAGCACTTGCCATTCCTTTTACTATTACAGCAAGTTAAGAGTACAAATCAAATGGGCACTTTTAGAAAGATGATGCAAAGTTCTAGTTCAGGCACATTCACACCATTTTAATTAAAAAAAAAAAATTCAGATCATTAAAATGGAATAATGTAAACAGCATATATTGAAGACCGTGCCCCATGGATATGAATATCTCTGTTGCGCAAGCAGAGCTCTAGCTACGATCTACAGGAAACTGAAAGTGTCTAACGGAGCATCACGCTGGAGAGTCGAGATGTCCTGGTTAATTTTGCTTCTTTACTGTTAATTTCCTAAGATTTATTTTCAGATCTTCTGTTCTGTGTGCAAAGCAGGCTATATTATGGACACTGAACACAAATGCATTTGAAATGATAGGTTTATTCATTTTACAAATTGGGTAGTAGAAAGTAATACAGAAAGTAACAGAAACTCATAAACAACAACAAAAAAAAAAAAGATAAGAGAAGGTGAACCAAACATTCTCGTTTAAGTCATATCAATTCATATACTAAATTTAAACACAATTAAGGGGACATTAATTAAAAAAAAAAATCTATTTCTTAAAACTTGAATGCTATAGCTGACATAGACAAAATAAAGAAAAACATGGGGTCCAGCCTGTTATTTTCTTCTCTTCTATTTCCCAGTTTTGATATACTGATATTTTGCCATGGTTTTTACACTGTCTGTCACATTTTACTGCTTCTCATCCATCCTTCATTCTCCATTTTTTTCCTAGGACACATTATCTGCCTTCTTCTTTCAGACAACACAAGCTACAGCCATTTAACTTCTAGGACCGAACATAAAAGTGCACACACTAATATGCTTTTCCCTACTTTTCCTCTGCCTTCAGCAATTTTATACACATACATGTACGATGAGCACTGAAGCAAACAGTTCAGTTTGTCCATCTTCTCAGGATGGGCCTTTTCCTGTCAAACTAGTTTGAGTACATCAAGGCATGTTAGGTCTGAGAAAGTGTATCAAGGTAGATTGGTATATCAAGGTATGTTAGGCCTGAGAAAGGCTGTAAACCCAAGAGAATGGAAGGCAAAGAAGAAAAGACTACCAAAAGAAAGACAATATGAAAGGAAAAGAGAAACAAGAGAAAACAGAGAGAAGATGTGAGATTATTTAAAAAAAAAAAAAAAAAAAAAAAAAAAAAAAGGCCTGGCTTTAATAGCCCCCCTGCTTTAGTCAATCATCTCTGGACTGTTTGATTCAAGTACAAACAGGTCTTTATACAGCTCCTTCAGTACAATATAAATGCTATGAGCAAGAAATTAATACAACCGAAGAGCAGAGCTTGCCCTGACCAGAATTAGAAAGCCCAGGAAACTTTGCAATAATTGGCACAAAGTAATTGAGTATTGTTTGTTAATGGTCTCAAGAGACAAAGGCTTTCCTAGCAAACCAAATACGCTGACATTTCTTTAGGACTGGTAACTGCCTCTGCCAAAAAATTGTATTCATTCACCTTGCAGAATGAAACAAGGGGAGACTCTAGAGGCTGGGTATCAGATGCCTCAATTGGCTTCTTTTTTTCTTTTTACCCAGACAAGTTACAGGAGAAGTGAAATTCTCAGAACTGTATGAAGCTTTATGTTACATTGGCATTTTACCTATGTTACTTTGTCTGCATGAATGAAGGAAGGAAGACGGCAGAAGGAAGTTATTGATATGGGATAAAAACTCCATTCACACCACTATGGCCACCACAATAACTCCATCTTGGAATAAATGAAAAACCATCATTAGAGTATAAATATGGAGATGTAAAGATAGTATACCCATACAAAGTAATCCCACTGAGTTTAAAAAGACAGGCACCTTTAATATAACACCGCTAGATAAATATGTGTGCGTGGGTACAGGTGAGTGCTACAAAGTACCACGCAAGCCGCCCTTGCCCCTCAGCTCGCCCTGCGGCTGGTACCAATTTGCTAGCACCAGGCTGATTCACATTGCACCACCACGACCACGTTTCCCATTGCACTTCACCTGATGTCAGTGTCAGGCTCGTGTCAACCCGCTGCCAGGCTAGCAGGGGCACTTCTGCCTCAGGAGCCACGGGAGACTGCAAAAATGCACAGAGAGCGGGACAGCATCTGGCTCCTGGCTTTTTTTTTAATCTCTTGCTACCAAACTCAATCTCTTGAGCTATGATAATAGCTTACTCCAAAGCAGACAGAGAATTTTGTTTTGACTTACAGTACCTTCATATTTAGACACTTAATGATCAACTGGACTTGTAAGCAGATGTGGATAGAGCTACAATGTTCATATGAACAAACAATCAAAAGCATTCTTTTAAAAACCCTGCCAAAAGGGTAAGTAAGGCTCAAGAGAAACAACACACAGATGTCAGGAGGGAAAAATAAGTAACTGTAATGGCTCATGGCCACATGCAGATTGTGGCCATATTTCCCATGGGCCTCTCTCTCTCTGGTCCCACTGTGCTGAACTGATTTCAGCCTAATAAGCCAAACATATTGGTCAAGAATACGTAGTGATCAGCCTTCCTTTTAAGATTATGTTAAATAATAAATAAATAAATAAATAAATAAAATATCTTCCAACATCTCCCAGAAGAGTAAGGTCTCCAGTGGAGTTTTTTTGCTGTTTTTTTTTTTGTTTGTTTGTTTGGATTTTGTGTTGTGGGCTGTTTTTTTTGGGGGGGGATTGGTGGTTGGTTTTTTTTGGTTTGTTTGTTTGCTTGTTTTTTTAAAAGATCATTAATGTAGAGGACCCACAGAGAAGAAGAGTGAGCAGAGGACAAGAGCTGAGGAAAGCAAGTACCTTTGGAAGGAATGGGTGATGCAGGAGAGATATACATACAAGCACAGATCATCTAGGAGATGGTCTTAAACCAACCTAAGTTTGAAAAGAGATGAAAAGACACAAGCAGCAGAAGCTGAACTACCCCAGCAAACACTGTTGGGGGAGTGATGAACCAGAATACATCCAATTTTGGAGGGAGAAGCTATAAAAATACCTGGGGAAGACTGAAAGGAGCATGTGCCCACTATGATAAGGGCCTCTAAAGAGGTATTCCTCTTTTTTGCTACTGCCCCAAGCTTTCCTACAGGAGTTAACTTTTAGCTGTTTCACTGAGACAGCGCTGAAAAACATAGTAATTTGCTTTTGAAATGAACTAAATTGCACCAGACAGTTAATGCTGCTAAACAAAGATCCAGAGAGAGGGAAAGGCCAGGACCCAAGAGCGAGTGGGGAGAAACAGTTGGTGGCACCCTGTGCCCACATGCTCCCATCCACCCGTGGAGCCCATGGCAGTGCCCCACCGTTGCCAGTAATATTTGGGATTTAAACATAAACTACATGCCATAAAAAACCCAAACCAATTCCACCTCCCATCCAACACCAGTTAATTATAAGTAACCTAAATGCTGATTTGCTCCTTAGCATAATGTCCTTCTACCACTGTGACTCCTTGCTTAAACTTTTATTCTAAATTTTTCTCCAAAATTCATTTTCTGCACTGACTTTTAAACAGGACCTTTAAAGAAGGCCAGATCTGCAAACAGAGGCAATCCTGTAAATCATAAGCTATTTTTAGATCTTAAAGCCCACCTGAGCAAGAACACTACGAGAGGCAATACTCCAAGAGGAAAGATTTTTCCTTGTCTACTGTCCTACACTACCCCACTGTAGGACTGCAGTTGGCCATACTGAAGAAATCAAACCGTAATGGCTCAGCATCATCCGTATTTGTACTCAGCTGTTGCTGCATTGTAAATAACAATCCAGCAGATGGCACAGTGAAGTGACTCTGAGAGAGACTGGATGGGGCCCTCCCCGAAAGGGAAGAAACGTGGAGGATGGCTTTGCTCCAGCCACTGCATTGTTCCTGCACAAAAACTCAACTCAGACTTGTGAGAGAGGACACCTTCCTTCCCTCTTCTGGAAACTGCCAGCCGCCTGCACTGCCTGCTCAGAGCAGGCCCGTTTGGTTCAAGATTTGTAATAGGTAAATTCTACTGGGAACAAAAAAATAACCAGATAATAATCCTGCCCAGACAACAGCTGAAATGTTACTACTTTTTTAAGCTGCTGTATTTCACTGGGAGAAAATGCAAGGTCAAAATATATAAAAATGGTGAGGCAACTGGGATTTTCCAAGCGAAGTCAGCTAGATGACACTATGGTCTTCACTAACATTGATACAAATAGGACAAGAATTTCTCTGTATCTGTCTTTCTTGTGAGTTGTTTACCTTCTTCTACTGGTTTTGGTCTCTACTGAAGGCATGTAGGGTCCAGGAGGCACAAGTATCTACAGGTATTTGGTATATCACTTTCATCTCGGTATTCGTTTCCATAAACAACTCACAGGAATGAGACTAGATCTTCATTTTCAGCTCTCAAAAATTTGGAATGGTTTCAAGAATTTCTTACACTCCCCAAGCTGCTTTGACCAATTTTCTGTCTTTAAAAGCATTTAAGAAAAATTAGTGATGGATTTTTAGTGTGTTAAACTGGAATTATATATAAAGCTGTCTGCACAGCCATAAGGATGGGTGGTAGAGTGAAATGATATGTTGATAAAATACCAATTACTCCCGTATGTGATCAGTATTTGCATATCTATAAGCATACTTATTCTTACATCTCTGAACACAAAAAAATGGAGGGCGGGAAGTCAGGGAAGAGGAAGAATTCATTTTGCAACAGTATGTGTGTCATTTTAAAGCCACATCAATTAGATTGACTTTGTATACCAGATATAACTACATATTATTTTCTGTATTTAATTTACTTGGAAATATAGCAAATGGTAAGGCACAGATTAACTCAATGTGTTTCCAGAACTGACTCCCTTATGCCCATAGATGTTCAAAGGCTGCACTTCTAATTGCTAGCAGGCACACATAATTCAGGAAAATTTCTTAGTAGGAAGGAGACTGGAAAAGGCAAGGAGAAATATGGATTCCAGTTACGTGCAATCTCCATAGTCATTAAGAACATCTACTTGCTTAACTTTATTTAACAACAGCAGACTGCATAAGCTAAATATTTACAGAGAAGTCTTGGCTGGATCAGGGCTTTAACCAAACATAGGACAGAAAATGACAGAAGGAAGAGAGACCTATCATCTCAAGCGCGAAGCCCAAGCTCATGCTGGGAGCCTACAGCCCAGCTCAGCTCTCTTTTCTCTTGTGCCAATGCCTGGAGCCCAGGACCATCCATCCTCTTAACTTCCTCTTGTGTACACCACATTAAAGGTGGGAGAAAGAATTTATTTTTTCATATTCTGCTCATAAAAAACGAGAAGACAACTAAAAATACCCTGAACAACAGAACAGTTACTGTCTCCAGGCATGTTTCCTAGTGATCAAAGGCACTTTTCAGCAAAAGTACTCATTAAATTATGAGCCTATTGTAACTATGTAAATGAGCCATAAATTAAAATAAAGGGACTCAAGTTATAGTAGGGCAATCTATAGAATAAATCATCAGCTCTGTAGCAATACGTCCAGCACCATCTGCGTTGCAGCATATTCGCTGTCTAGTAACCTAACAGCTTCTGGAGTGCAAAAAGTAATGCAGATATTTATCCTCTGTCAGTGTATTGGTTGCATCAAAAACAAGTTGGGGCCTCTCTGGACTCACCACATGCTGGACTAAAGCACAGAAGACTGTTGGGATGTGATCTTGTACGATGTTTAATAAAGGACAATCAACCTACCAGAGAAAGGCAGAACAGAACTGAAACGCAGTAGCTGATGAGGGTGAAAGCTGGTGATTATTAATGCCTGAAAAGCATATCTGCTCCCTAATTTCCATTTGGAATGAACTGCTGTATCTAAAAATAACAAACTTATGCTCATAAACAGGCTACAAATAAATCACCCCCAATCACAGCACAATGCCACGGGCAGGCCCACGTCCGTATTTTGATCATCGCATACATCCTTTTGTGGTTTGCAGGCTTCTAGTCTTAGGAGTGACGCAGGCGGTTAGTGCGGCATTTACCTGATCAGCAGATCAAAATAGCAGCCGTGGGCAATGTGTGCAACAGTCGTGTGTATGGCATCTGACTATGTCCGTACACTCTGGAGTCTGAAGTTTTTTCTGTTACTTGCATCAATACCTACTGATGGCAATGATACTCACAGAGGGCACGTGGTTGCCCTAAATACAAGGGAATTTAAATAACTGGATCTTTTTTGGAATCGGAGCTGCAAAAATAATACCTTCTACAACTTTAAGGGAACATGAGAAGGGGTGTCTGGGTAAAGAGGTTTCATGCGGTATTTTTACTTGCTTTAGTGAGGGTTTTGTGATAACATGAAAAAGGCAGATGAGCAAGAGGCTGAGATAGGATCAAGGACGTGTCAGATTACAGCACCATGGGTTAGCATGGCCCTGGGAAACAACTTTTTGAAGCAAGTGATTACTAGAAGTGAATTAAGAAAGCAAGCAAAAAAAAACCAAAACAAAACCAAAACCAAACCCAAACCCTGTTGGCTATTATTTACTCCTGCTCTGCTTAAAGAGACCCAAGCTAGGTCTGAATAAGCTGGCCCGCTTATATGAGAAATGGCTGTGCCCTGCAGATACATTCATACAGGTCCCAGAAGCTGTTAGCACCTAACTTCACTTGTACTAACCCTTCTTGCCTCTCTGCTGGACTAACTGCTATGCTGACTAAATTCAGCAGCTGACTCACTGGAAGTTAGTTTTTTTGGTTAGCTTCCACATCGTGTTGCTCTTGGCTTTACCATCCATTGCTCCTGTTAACTGAAGCCACTTAGAGGAGGATGAATGCTGGCTGATTACTCAGGCCAAAGTAGCAGTACACCTTTTCAATACAATTTCTGCTAGCGTATGACTTTGCTTCTCAGTTTCACAAACATAATAAGGAAACAGCATCTAAGATGAGCATGAGTAACTTACCTGTTCATTTTTGGTCAGTCTTGTTTTGTTATGGATGTCAGATGTAACCAGGTTGAATCCATGTTTCTCTGATAAAATTCTCAAAAGCAAAACCACAGTTCGACTCCCACACTTTCCAACTCTGTTGTAGACCACCTGGCTGGGGAAAGGAAGTACCTAAAGATTGAAAAAATGGAGTCAGTATATTGGTATTTTTGTGTACCTCTGAATCACAGCATGTTTTGACTGTAAGCCAACAGATACGTACAGGAGAATTTCTAGGGCCCTGCCCAGGTCAGAAGCATTCACCTCCACCAGCAAGCTAGAAGCTTTTTAGAAGAGAAACACATGGCTCAGGAGGTGGCAAGCTGCGATTTCCCCCTCCTGATCCAGTTTAATGTAACAGTGCGGATTGGTAGCTACTCCAGAAACACTAAGCTACTAAAAACTGATGTCTTCTAGTGAAGCTGATGATGGGCTTAAGCTTGCTGCTTGTAACCTCAATGCAAATAGTCAGTTTTAGTTGACCGCCTCCCATACAAAGAACAGAGAGGAGTGAATTTGCACTACAGTTTGGCAACTCAAAGTGAAGCTGACATAACACAAGAGGAATGCTTGAATTACAAAACTTCAGCTTAAAAAGAAAAAAACCCCAAACAACCACCAGTTGTATAGAGCTAAAGTTTATCAACTGTTTCAATTTCAAATATAAACACGAATCTTCCAAAGAGACTCAGAGAACAAATCATGCCACTGGCTAGGTATCTACTTGTGGAATAAACAACACTGGGGCTACAGGTGGCCTGGAGGCCAACTGGCACAGTAGGATCACCTCCGTACAGGCAATGTTCTCTAAACCTCGAAACAGAAGAGCCACATCCAACCTGCCCACTAGGAATGGTCTCCAGCCCACGCTAACTCTTGCACCATGCTCTCCTCCCTGGGAAACCAGAACAAGTGAGTAGCAATTCACTGTCTTGAAGCGCACTGGATGCAGCCTTGATTTGTTCCTGGGCGATGTCCATGGGCTATCCTTTCAGTAAAAGGCATTCTGAAGTCACACTCTTGCACTAGACAAGTATTTGGTGCATAGCATATAGCAGCAGCATCTGATAATATAGGCCAAGAGGCCTCTGTTTTCAAGCCTTTTAAACTGGCTAACATAGTCAGGAGCTCACAGTTTCATCCACAGTGGTGCATGTATGGCACTCACTTATGGAAAGCTCATTTTTCTATTAAAATGACGGCACAAGATGTTTCCCAACACAGGGCCTGCACCTGGGTGCCAGGCGACGTGTTCAGCGTGAGGAACGGCTTACGTGCCAAAGTGATGGTGTGCCTCAACCTATAGTTACTTCTGCTGCTGATGCCATCACGTTCTCCCAGCAGAAGGATTGCTAAGATAAAAGCAGTCAGATGAGGCATATGGGCTTCTGGCACTTCCCATGGTATTTGAGCAGCTAATACATCTTCATCAGGGAAGCAAAATGATTCCTCAGGCAACCCTTCAGATTACTTTCAGAGAGGACTGCAAACTAGAATGAAAAAAAAAAGGAAAAATCTGGATTCCCTTATGTATAATGGGAACATACTGGCACTTTGCTATCAACATTACACTTCATGACCAAAAGAACATTAGTATCGTTACTGGTTGCAATGTTTAGGATATCCTCCACTGCAACATAAACATGGAAGCTGCCATGCTCCAAATTACCTGGGGAGGGGGTAGGTATTTGGTGATCACAGCCTCAGTTAAGCTTTCCAAGTTCCAAGACATCACATCTGCTGATTCGGCAAGTAAACATGGGCCTCCCAATGCTCATACAAACCCCACATAATACATCAAACCTTACTATTTTGTTACATTTTTGTAGAGTTTTCTATGAGAAACCTAGCCGCCTTATTCTTTATCAATCTTTCCTTCAGAAGCCTTGCTACCTACAAAATGCAAAGTCCCAGCCTTAGTGATTAGAGAACTCCAAAGGTGATGAATTTAACACCTCTGTGCTACAGCTTTAGCTAACTTTTTCCAAAACTGCCAATGATGTCTGAAAGGTTAACATTCGAACACATTTTATTACGTTGATTATAACACCAGGGTCACCATCATTAAAGTTTTTCTTATGCAAGCACACACAGGAGACATTCTGGATTGTCCCCTTTTTGATTCATTTCTTCACCTAACAAAACCCAGCATCAGTATTTGCCATGGCCCTGCAGCACTATCCACACAACAACATTGAACTTGTGGAATGGGAGTTTCTTCTCTGCTCAGGCATATGCTTTTGGCATACTTTGCTGTGCAAGTATGTGAAAGTCTTCAAGAGAAATGCTAAGTAGATGCTGACAAGTGCCAGTGAAGGAGCAAGATCCCATACAGCATGTGTTTGCCTAGCATCCTGGAAATATGATAAATGATGAGAGTTTGTAGGGCTATGGAAACATTTAAAAATACTTCATAATTATTAACTGCTTTGATTTTCATAGCAGAGTTGCACTTTGCAATATAACGAGCAAAATTTTTTCTTCATTGGTACTTCATTTATTTCAAGTGGAATTTTGCTGTACCCAGATTACATTCAAGTTCTAATTACATCCCTGATTTGATTAGCCAAGAACTTTGGCTGAATATTATTCATATCATTCTTTAAAAATAAAATAAAATTAAAGCAGGCCTTTGTAAAGTCACTATTCTAAGTGCAAACAACTTTACCAGCTAAAAAAACCCGACAGTTGCTACCAAGTTTGGCCTGTTCTCACCTTTGTTTCTGAAACTCACCTTCCTACGTAGCACAATTCTGTTCTGCAGGCAGATGATAACCATGGCAACCCCCAAAAAGAAACCCTAAGCAAATACTCACTGCAGATAGAGAAAACTGAAATAAAGGGCTATTATTTTCAGCCAACTGTTTAGCCTAAAGGAGGCCAATATATCAATGCCTTGATTCAGTAAACATCTGAATGCACTTAGGTAAAATCGGACAAGATTCAAGATAAACGCTACAGCTCAAAGCTCGCTTCAGAAGAACACCGTCATTAACGGCAATCAAAACTTCACTTGCAGCGCTGCTGAATGTGGCTAGCTTTAGGGATGCGCTGCTGAAGCTCTGCTCATGTTTCGTCTGTTCACGTCACCGTTCCACTGACTCACCTAAACGCACCTGAGGGTGTGCCCAGCACCCACAGCCGTGCAGCGCACAGGCTTTTGGTACATAAGCAAGTATTTGTTTAGTGTGACCAGTTCCCTTAGGACACTGCCAATCTGCTTTCTGCATTTTAGAAAAATGTCTAAGTAATGTCTTAGAAGAAGAAATACTTCTTCCAGAAACCTGAGTTTGTATCAGGCAGATCTAAAAGTGCAAGAAACTGACAACTTTTTCAGAGAGGAACTTCTTTCTTTTCCCCCTCACGATACTCACAGCAAGCTCAGCCAATATAAGAGATGGTGGCAGAGGAGGCACTTGAAAAGAAGGCTCCTATTTTATTAGCAGAAACAAGATGGAAAAGAGCAGTTGGAGGTTTACAAAATGCTAATTGGATTACATTTTATTTTACAATGTAGACTGACTAACTGCTGAGGTGATGCTCTGGCAACATGACATTCATGTAACAATACACACAACTTCAAAATAATTACAGAGTGACTTTACTGAGCACTGCATCAAAGCCCAGAGGTAATATAAACAATCCAAACACGTAATTCACTTTGGAGTTATATGAATTAGTACGTACAGCTACAAAAAAGTAAAACCCACAGTATAATTACAACAGCTCTCTCCAAGGGTTTGGAAAGTTACATAACAATTTACTTGTCAGTTCAAACTGAGGTTTTTTTTCTTTTGCTCCACAGCTAAAAATGTCAAGAACCACTGTGAATGAAATCGAGAAGAAAAAGCAAGTTTATCCCAAAATGAATTTGCATTACGGATGACAACTGTCAAGCAGCTCTGCAAGGTAGGTCTGCCAGTCTCAGGAGGGGAGCCATTTCTCAGATAGCCTGACAAAAGCCAGGCTTCAGTGGTGGCTTTGTCTCCAGGTAAATCTTTGCAGCATTTAAAAAATTAGGCTGGATAATTACTTGCAGTGTCAACAATTTAGGGATCCACCCGAAGGCCTAAATCATTCCACTTTTACTGAGCCAAATCCAGTATAATTTTGCCCATTTGCCAAAAATATCCCAGCCCAGGTGCAATTTGCCCAGACAAATAACTCATGTCAGAGATACATGTTCCCAGAAAGCAATCCATTATCTTCACAGCTTCTGCAAGTAAGCGAACCCTGTCCTCACTCATGAGAGGGGCCAGAAGTGGGTGCCAGAACTGGCTTCTCCTTTCTGAGCAGACACTAACCTGTGGTCAGATAGTGCTCCGTGTTCAACACGGACAAAACTGCTAAAATCGTGAAAGCAAGGAAACATTTGCTGACGTCACACATCTCTATATAGCATCACATCTTCCCAGTGCATCCTCTCCGTTTTTTTTCCTGTCCAACCGAGACAGAACTATAAGAATTTTAAAACTGGCTTACTGAGTCAAAGCAATGGCCCATTTGGCTCATGAGTGGTGGAAAATGCTCACTAGGCACCTGCAAACCTGAGCGCTGTCAGCAGTCCATTTCTCTGCAGTATCTCTCCTCCTCCTCCTCCAGTGCCCCCAAAGATTGCACATGGGATGTTAGAAGGCACATCCTTGCCTGTTTCCTGAAGAATTTCTTACACAACCTACTACACCAACAAATTCCAGAATTTTGTTACCCACCATGCATTTCATTTTTAGCTCATCTTCTACCTTTTCCAGAGAATCTGCGTTCTCGCGTTGCGGGTTTCATGAAGACAGATCAGACAATTCAGTCACCAGCTTTGAGATCTTCTTAGGTCCATTGGATGCCTCTCTTTAATTGAGGTTTGTCACAAGCCTGCCATGGCCTATTTAAAGACAAACTCTAAGGCCACTAACAGATAACATATTCCAAACCCAACTTCAGGAATTGCTGCACAAAATCTCATTCCACACAAGCATCAACTTATTCTTACTCACTTTTAAAGCAATTACAATGAAGAATCGCTAGCACAAAGATATGTCAGCAGAAAACATGACTGAAAGATGAAAAAGAGAGAAAACAAAATAAATTACTAGTTAGCCTCCTTCTTCCCCAGCTAAACCACACAGATCCAGTTATGTCAAGAGCCACCTGTAGAGTGTAGTGACATTAGACAGAGACAGAGTTTTTGGAATTAACCAACTCTAAAGCAGACCAGCCAGCACAATCTTCTCTATGGGTCACTGAAAATAACACTAGAAACCACAAGAAAGGTAAGGGTGAAGTTTGTTTGCTTTCACAGTTGGAAAGCCATATAGCTGCAGTGGAGCACTGAAAATAAGGCAGAAGAAGTAACACAAGATTCTTCTGTTGCATCTTCGTTAAGCAACTAATTTAATTGAAAAAGGATGACTTCCCCCCCCACCCTGCCCCAAACAGTGCATTTCATCTGTTTAGCAGCTGACATATTTGGAAGAATAAGTTAAAATGTGTTCTCTAATGATTCAACATCCCTAAGTACCAAAATAAATTGAAAACATAAGCATGGAGCACAAGCAGCAAAAGGGGATGGCTTGTATGCATAGTCCTCAAACTTAAGACCAAAGAAAAGCATTACTATGAAGCGTCCACCAAAGCTAATAGTTCCTGATGTGTCCCACAAAACAGATCTGTATAGCCAATATCAAAACTTCCAATAATTTTTCTGTGAAGAAGTACTGCACCTTTACAAACCTAAAAAGAGCTCAGTCCAAAGCATAGCAAAGTCTCCCGTTAAGTCTCAGATCAGGTCCTATTACAAGACACCATGGCTATACATACAGCAAATTGAAACTACAATATCAATAGCAACCTGGGAAAATTACAAAGAAAAGGTCAAAGATCAAGTTTTTGAAGTTTGGCTGCATCCTGTCAATACATTTCATTTTGCTCCTTTTATACCTTACACCTGATTTACCTTCCTGCAACAGCAGCTCACAGCTGAGCAAAACCTCTACTTCGGCAATCTGCTGCACAAGATTCCCCACCAAAGGGAGTGCAGAACCAGGTTTATTTCAGGCACGTGATGTTACAGCAACGTTCAAATCCAGCACAGGTATACCAAGAGTCAAACAGGTTGGTAAAGAGCAGATGCTCTGTTCACTCAGCAGTTTCAGGTGGTCACTGATGTTAGGCAGCCTCTGGAGGTGTGAGCAGGACTCCTGGCTCTCATCACTCAGCAACACTCGCTGTGCGCAAGCAGTGGCAGCTCCAGCTCCTCTCAGGGATGAAGCGGGTGAGAGGGAATCACCCCACCAAACAGATAATTGCTTGGGGAAGGGGTACAACCAACACCTGCTAGATTAACCAAATCTTTTCCTTTTGCCCTTTCTTAAGATAGCGTGCTTTTCAACCTCCTCTTCATTCTTCTTGCTTTCCTCTGCAGTTTGCAACTTGTTCACCTCTTCTGGAACCAAAATTAGATATAGTGCTATATCTTGTCACCCTAATGCCAAAGAGAACTGAACAGTTATCCTTCTTATCTTGCAGACATCCCTTTTTAATACATCTCAGGATGGCATTTAGAAGAATCAAAGCATATGGGACTGTCTCTGGGATAGAGAGGGGTGCAGAACATAAAGCCATCATTCTTTCTTCTTTACCCTACATGAGTGTAAGCAGATTACAACAGAAAAAGAACAGGAGGACCCTCATTAGTTTTCTTGTGAGAAGCACTATTTTCATCTCTTACTTCTAAAGTTCATCACATTGTGGAAGTCGTCTTACTGATATGCACCTATCTCATAACAAGATAAAGGAGATAAATGATGTAAGGACATGGTTCACTGACACTGGTATTCGTTGAGGGAACTAGCATGAATTCAGGTAGGTTAAGAATTTTGGTGTCACTTTAATTACCCAGTTTTCCACTGGAAGGTTTTCCATGTAATATCAAAAACCCCTTAAGCTGCAGAATTTGTGCAAGCCAGATTTTAACTCCAGAGCAGCTTCACATTTTATGTACATGTATCTTGGAACTGTAAAGTTTAAAACTGCTGGTTTTCCTCCCGAGCCTAGGGTTTTGTACACTCTGTGATGTGCTCAGAACACACTGGCACAGTTATTCTTTGTTTAAATAGTAAATCCTATCACATCCAACCCACTTGTTTATATTGGATACTTACAAAACGAGAGATATTAAGTAGCTAAGCCTGGTTTTAAAACTTTTTCTAATACATCACGGCACTGGTGTTCCCTTAAGTAACATAACTACCTTACAGTAGCTTCTATCCTTCCAATGCAATATTCACAAATTCACCCCGGGAGCCAGTAATATTGGATTTGAATGTGGTCAGTGGTAGATTAAATAATTTATTCCTCTGTATGCACTTGTCTTTCTTCACATTAAGCTTTAACCCTTTTGTTCCTATTGTGGCTGACTACCTACTCGGCTGCAGCTAGTGCAACAACTCATGGTTTCACCATTGCCAAGGATCTGTCATACTGTGTTTCACTTTGCCCTCCTGCCCTTTACTTTAGGCCCCCTTCAGTAGTTTCACATTTTATTTTAATGTCTCCAGCATGCTTGTCTTTTCCACTGCACTTTGCACAGGCACTTTATAAGTCAATTGCAGTATGAAATAAAGGTTGTTTATAGCCGTAACTGGAATTTAATTTGTAAAACAGGCCAGTGCTGCTGGGCTGTAATCCATATGCTCGTTACTGATGAGCTGGCTCTGAGGTGCCCTCGCTCCGCATGCTCAGAGGAACTCAAAGGGACTGAATTTCCATCACAGCTTCTGCAGG